GGGGGAGAGGTGGTGGTAGAGGAAAGGCTCGTAAATGAGGATTCTCTCCTGGAACACCAGAGGTTTTGTGGCAGATAAAAAATACATAGCTATACTAGATAAAACAAATAAGTTTAGTTTAGATGTTGTTGCTATTCTAGAGCCTCGGGTAAGTAGAATTGAAGCAAAGAAGCTGCAGCAGAAAAGATTTGAAGGTTGGGGACAGAAAATTATGTTCAATGAAGAAGGGTTGGGGAAAATCTGGATTGTCTGGAGGGCTGGGATTCAGTTGTCTGTCACAGGATGTTCTGAACAGTTTGCTCAAGTCTTAATTGGAGGAAAGACTCCCTTCTTTGCTACCTTTGTGTATGCCTTAAATAGTGAAAGTCATAGAGATGTTCTTTACGAGGAAGTGGCTAGGTTAAAGGTTGATAAGATTCCATGGATTATGTTAGGAGATTTTAATGCTATAAGGGACCCTAGTGAAGGATCAAACTCTCCTCAGTATTCTACTAGTATGAGGTCATTCAATGACTGGTTGAAGAAAATTGAAGTCGAGGAACACAAGTCAACAGGGCCATGGTTTACTTGGCTTAATAAGAGACAAGGGAATCCTATTGCCCGGAGATTGGACATGGCTTTCATTAATCTTGCTTGGCTGGATGAGATGAGGAATAGCACAGTACAACTACAAGTACCTGGAGTATCTGACCATTGTCCAGTTTATGTGCAGGCTGATGTATCTTTGAAGTCCCTCCCCAAACCTTTCAAAATTTTCAACTTCTGGCTTGGTCACTCAACTTTTGAGGGGCTCCTGTCTCAGGCTTGGAATGAGAGTGTGAGTGGTCCACCTTTGATCAGGGTATGCAAGAAGCTTAGGATTCTGAAAGCTCTACTAAAGAAGCTTAATAAAGAAGAATATTCTGATATCAGGGGCAGAGTGAGGGAGAAGGAACAGGAGCTGGGCAAAGTGCAATTGGATGCTCTCTCTAGTCCAAATGCAGTGAGTTTTGAGCTTGAAGTTAAGATTGCTAAGGAACTCTATGATTTGACACAAGCTGAGGAAAGTTTCTTGAGGCAGAAATCCAGAGAGTTGTGGTTAAAGGTGGGTGATACAAACTCAGGTTATTTTCATAGATCAATGAGAACAAGGACAAAAAGGAACACAATCACTTCTCTTAAGAATGATCAAGGGAACACAGTTTTCACTCTTGAAGAAATGAGCCAGGTGGCAGTGGGTTTTTTATCAGCTTTTGTTGGGAAGGGTTAATCCCCATGTTGAAATTAAGGAAGTTGATTATTTTAGGGGATTGCTAAGGCATAGGCTGCCTGATACTCAGGTGTCCTCCCTGTGTGTACCTATCACTACTACTGAGGTAAAAGACGTCATGTTTAGCTTTAATGGAGACAAGAGCCCTGCCCCAGATGGGTACAATGCTAGATTTTTTCAAGCTGCCTGGGGGACTATAGGAGGGGAAATCACCTCTGCAATTCAGCACTGCTTTGTGGTAGGGAAGATCCCTAGAGAGGTAAATGCTGCAATTCTTGCATTGATTCCTAAAATTCAGAACCCTGATGAGATGAAATCTTTTAGACCTATCTCTTGTTGCAATATAATCTATAAGTGCATATCAAAATTATTGCCAATAGATTCAGTGCTATTCTTCCCCTTGTTATTAGTAAAAACCAGACAGCTTTTTGTTAAGGGGAGAGTTATTGGGGAAAATATCCTTCTTGCTCATGATCTAGTACACAAATACACCAGGAAGAATATTTCTACTAGGTCAGCTCTCAAAATCGACCTTATGAAGGCATTTGATTCTGTGAATTGGCAATGTTTGATTACTGTCTTAGAAGTCATGGGGATTCCTGCTCAGTTTATTGCTTGGATTGAAATGTGTGTCACTAGCCCTATGCTAAGTGTTGCTTTTAATGGGGGGCTAGCTGGTTATTTCCCTGCAAAACAAGGCTTGAGGCAGGGCGACCCGCTCTCTCCTTCCTTATTTACTGTGACTATGGAGATTTTCTCGTGTTTGTTGGATCTGGAAGCAAAGCAGGGGAGATTCCCTTATCACCCTATGTGCAGAAAGATTGAGATGACGCACTTATGCTTTGCTGACGATCTCCTAGTTTTCTCAGATGGATCAAATTACAGTATACAGTCTTTACAGAGAGTCTTGAGTACTTTTCATAAGCTTTCTGGCCTTCAGTCTAATCCAAACAAGTGCGAGATTTATTTTGGTGGGTTAGAGAAAGAAAAGCTGGTGGCTAGGGCTAGCAGATATGGTTTACCAGTTGGGGGGTTTCCCCAGTTAGATACTTGGGTGTTCCTTTGGTGGCTGGCAAGCTCTCAGTCACTACATGTAAGCCACTTATAGATAGAATTACAAGACGAGTGCAGGTGTGGAAAGCCAAGGCCCTTAACTATGCAGGCAGGGTTGAACTGATTGGAACTGTACTGTACAGTATGACTCAGTATTGGATGACGGTTTTTACTTTGCCTAAGACAGTTATTCGAGAAGTAGAGAAAATATGTAGCAATTTCCTCTGGTCTGTTGGTTCTGGGCTCAAGCTCAAAGCTAAGATGGCATGGAAATACTTGGCAGTCCCAAAGAAGGAAGGTGTGTTTGGACTTAGAGATCTCACAATTTGGAATTATGCTTGTGTTTTTAGACAGATTTGGGCTATAATGTTACAACAGGGGTCTTTATGGGTGGCTTGGATTCATACTTACAAGCTAAAAGGGACGGATTTCTGGACTGTGAATGTAGATGGATCCTGGAACTGGAAGAAGTTGCTGAAGCTTCGAGGTAAGATCCCTAACCTGTTTAGCTTGAAAAACGGCGAGATTTATTGGAACAATGCTGTCATGCCAAGGTACTCGATTAAGAAGGTTTGGGAGGTTATTAGGAAAGAACAAAGTGAAGTGAAGTGAACTGGTACAGTTTACCCTGGGCAGGGACCTCTATTCCAAGGAACAGATTCCTAGTGTGGCTTATCATCCGGAACAAGATCCAAACAATTGATCAAATGAGAAAATGGGGATTTGCTGGGCCAGATAAGTGTTATCTGTGTGATCAGGCTGCTGAGTCGAGGGATCATATATTCTCGACCTGTGTGTTTTATGTCTCTACTCACAAGCAGCTTTTTGGTCAGTTTACTTCTTTTCTTCTTAGGTCCGGGGAAGACAATCTTCTCTGGGCTGTCAGGAAGTTTGGAGTAAAAGCGCCTTGTGCATTGGTGGGTCGTTTGATTTGGCAATCTTTAATCAGCCATATATGGAGAGAAAGATGTAGAAAGGCTTTTGGCGAAAATGGCAAAACATATGAGACTCTGGTCTCTCTAGTGCAAAGTGAAGTAAGGGTGATGGTGCAAGACCCTGTTCTGCTAAGAAAATTCTGGACTGCTGCTTCTTAGTTTTTGTTTCTCTTCCCCGAGAGCTTAGTTTCTGGGATGTTGTTTAGGATCTACCTTTGTTTTTGGTTTCCATACTGTATTGTGTTTCTGGTTTTTTCAGGTAGGTATAGAAAGAACAGATCATTTGTCCCCCCTGGTTTTTAACTCCTAGTTGGCAAGGATGTTGCCAACGTCACTTTTTGATGAAATACTAAAGCACCGATTCATAAAAAAAAGGCTAGCAGGGTGATTCCAAGTTTACCTTCAACGTGGTCACAAAAGCACCGTATAGGGTCGTTCTCTCAATTAGCAAGGTCTATTACATTAAGGTGAGTGATAGACCGTTAATTACACATGTTTTTACCCCTGTTCTCACACCGTTTGAGATGTGGTTTCTCATGTTTTAGGCCGATTTCACGCTAGGTTGTGCTTGTTTGTGATATTTCAGGTCCTAGTACGTGAATGGAGGCCTGGGAGCGAGTTTGGGGTCGATTGGACGAAGATCGGGCGCGAGGCAAGCCGATGAGGAAGCCACACGGGCACACACAAACACCACACGGCCGTGCAAGTGACCAATGTGGCCGTGTGGGATTGTGCGAGCCTTCACACGGGCACAAATACATTCCACACGGCCGTGTGAAGGAGCAATGTGGCCGTGTGGAATTCTACGAGAGCAAACACGGGCAGAGCAGAATTCCCACACGGCCGTGTGATTCTGGCCGTGTGGGAAGCCTGAGATGCAACTAATCGATACGCCGCGTTTTGAGTCACACGGGCAACTGGGTGAGCCACACGGCCGTGTGGCCTGCCCGTGTGAGTCGGGAAATCTTGGTTTTTCACCCAATTCCGAGCCACAAGTGAGAGAATCGGATTTTCAGAGCTGGGTTTTTGGTTCCCTAACACCCAAGGGACGAACCCTAGAGAGAGAGAGAGCAACTTGGGAACATTCTTGGAGCTATTTTGGAGGATTTCTTCGCCATTGGAGCTCGGGAATCAAGCTTGGAGATGGAGATTGGAGATCTACATCAGATTTCTGCAGTCTCTCTCTTCTCTATGGAGTAACTTCCCTTCACTTAGGTTTTGAGGAATCCTAGTTCCATGTGTTAGGATCTTTCTTGTATGAAGTTTTGGATGCTATATTGTTTGATTATAATCGATTGAGGCATGATTTATTGAGTTAGTCAATCTACTGCTTTGTACTGGAATCCAATTCCGGTAGTGGAGTTCTGTGTTCATAGCCTCAGCTTTCTATCCCGGTGAAGGTTAGTCGCCTGCCGGGTAGTTGGACTGAGAGGGCTTGGTCAGCTTAAGAGATTCCAAGCTACTATGGGATCTTCCGCAGTTTAATCAACAGTAGATCAATCAAAGGTAATTGCAACTTGGACCTAATTGAGGAGCTAGGGGGAATCATACCTAAGTGAGTTCCCAACTTGTAATTAGTAGAGTAGTCAGTAGAGTAGTTTATAAATCAATCCTTAATCTAGTTTGCTAGATAATGAACTGAAGCTGAGTAATAGTAACTCTAGAGACCCGTGGATTCGATATTTATTACTTGTGCCACTATACTGCAGTCCCTTTCATTGGTTACACTTGGCCATTGTTAGGTGTTGTGTTTTAGCGTGTCAGATTTGGAAAGAGTTTCACCTGTGAGTTTTTTTTACCCTAAACCTGCAAAACGTGGCTCGCCGCCGATGGATCGCCCCTCACTCTCCCTCCGTCAAAACCTAAAAATAAAAAAAGAAGCAATCGGAGCTCTAAACGACCCTAAACCCTAGATCTATAACATGCAACAAAAAGAAACCGTTTGAAATCTACTTATCAATGACGACGGTTGATCGTACGACACGGTTGTTGTCTCCTTCGTTTCCCTTCCCCCTCGTAAAAAAAAAGGATTAGAGGTTAGAATCTAATCAAAATCAAACCTCCAAATCCACATGCAACCCAAAAAACGAAACCTACCCTTGATTGTCGTCCGTAGCAGTGGTTAGTCTCCGCCGCCGTCGTTTGTCATCATCGCACAGCGTCGCTCGTCATTTTTTCCCTCCTCCGCCGCCGTCGTGTCTTCTTTCTCCCTTTACCCTTGTTGGTCTTGGGAAAAATGAGGAGGAGGGGAGAAATAAATAGCCTTATTTGATTTTTAGGGTTGTTGCCATTTAGGGAGGAAGAAAGGAGGTGATTGTTTTTTAGCCTCCATTGATGGAGAAGAGGAGAGCGGAGCACGAGAGAGAGAGGGCAAGAAGAGGGAGTGGCTAGGGCGGCTAGGGTTAGGGTTCTCGCCAAAAACCCTTTTAAATAATCACCCCTTCTTATTAAAACGACTCGAGTTAAGCTCAAAACGACCAGGTCGGCTATCCAACCCAGCGGCGCCGTTTTATCCCCAAAAAGACTCGAGAAGTAAAAAAAAAATCAAGTCGTTGCTGGGATTTGATCTGTTAACCTGGGTTTCGTCACAAAATACCAGTCAAGGCTCTAAACCACTAGACTGGTCGCTTATAACTTGATCATGCATCAAACTCAATCTTTTTAAACTATAAATCTGTATACTTAATCTAAGATGATCCCTAATACGAAACGTCAATGGTCGATAGTCGATGTTGGCATTTTCGTAGTAAGTCTCCATATAAATTTTCAAACGATAAAATTATGCTATAAATGTTATAAAAAAACATTAAACCCTAACAATTTTCAATAGAATATGTTAGGTTCTCTTTTTACCAAAACTTTATTAATCAAACTACGTGGACTTTGATCCCGATTACTCGGGTACGTAGGCAACCAATAGGTTCGAGTCCAACTAATCTAAAACTCTTCTTTAATTTGAGAATTACGTCAATAGGCATATGATCAAATTGTATATTAATAAACACCTAATCAGTTGAATCTTATAATTGAATACATAAACAAAGCGCAAATACACCCAACCCTTAAAAACTTATCGATTTAAGTAGTACCACTTTTGGGCGTTGTGGGGTGTGAATACACTTCCCCACACGTAAGCGTACTCCCGAATCCAAATTTCTAAAATTTTTACAGACCAAATCCCAGTTTTGACCCTAATGTTGAGACAAGGTAAATAGTGTTCGACCCATTACAACTAAGGTCGATGGTGACTCCGGGTGTGACGCGACGGAGCCCCTGATCTCGAGGGGCGATTGCGACAGACATTGTGGAGCAGACAAAATTTGTCACGGAGATCTCCCGTGATGATCATGATCAGGAATGTCCTGTTGTAGCCCACCACACCTTCCCACAACCCACACCGAGCTTTGAAGAAGCGGGCATGAGTGAGGATATTCAAGATGATCTCATCGAAGAAATTGCTTGGCGACTTGCTCTCCAATAGTGTGAATTAGTGATCTTAGGACACTTGAATCGTGTGGTATCGTGGACTCTCTACCTGTCATGTACTCCTGTATCATGTTTTGACAAGGTGCTCTAAACTGTGCTTTTAAAACAATGTCTCCCGTGTGAGAATCGGTGAAAGTGTGTAAGGGAGACGAGAATCCATCCCAACTTTCACCTACTACCTCCATCCCCCTTACATTTCTTTCCCCGCACGAGACTTGAGACATCTACTCACGGCATGGCCGGTAAAAGTCGGGCTCCCTCAAAACCTTTGCCAGGTGGGAGCCCCATTTTCTGGAAATAACAGGTTGGAACCCTTGCAAAGAAAAAAAAACAAGAAAATGAAAAGAAAGAAAGAAAGGAAGGGGGTTCCAACCATCTTTAAAGAAAAAAATAGAGCACCTAAGAAAGTGAGTCCATGATCTTACTGTTTTTGGGAGTCTTTGTATCCACGGATCGTTTGTCCTATGATCACTACTTGGCATGATCTGACTCTGGACTAGAGTTCTCGCCGAAGAAGCTAGGAGGTGCCTTGTGCGTTGGTTGACCTCGTAAGATGTTAAATGATGTAGGAAGCCCGCTACCGACGATCGGGGTTATGTGTTGTTGTAGAGGTCTGGAGACTTGCATTGGTTTGAGTCAGGTATGCTTAGGGACAAGCAAACAGTTAAATGGGGGGGGGGGGGATTTGATGACTCGATATTTGTACATGTTTTCCCCTTTGTTTCTCGATCGTTTAATCTCGCATTATCCCTTCTTTGGCCTATTTTACAATAGGTTGTGTTCCTTTGTCACATTTCAGGTCCTAGCATATAAAGCGAAGCATAGGCGCAAATTTCAAGTCAATCGGAGATCAATTGGTGACTCGGGGGGAGAAACTCGGGCATGACTTGAATAAGAATGGATTTATACCTCATTTTTTGACTAGATGATCATGTAAGCTTTTCTTTAGAAGAAAGAGGACGAGACTACGAGCGTCTGGGATCAAACGACACCTGATTTGGAGTCCGAATGAGGGAGAAAAGAAGAATCAAAGATAGGGGACCCGGAATTGACAAATGCCCGCCCGGGTATTTTGACCATCTGATAGGGCATTTTTGGCAGCATCAGAACGCCCCTCGGTCGTGAACAAAAAATACTCGAACGGGTATCTGAAAAACCCGACCGGGTTTCTGAAAAACTCGACCGGGTATTTTCCATTTTGCCCAGAAAACTGACCCGGAGCATTTTGTTGATACCCGACCGGTTCCCTAAATACCCGATCGGGTATTTGGACCAGGTTTCGCGAACGCAGGTTGTTAAAAGCTCGTTTTGTGCGTTTTTGGTGGGGGAGAACTGGGTTTTGGATTCCAAACACCCAAGGGACGAACCAAAGAGAGAGAGGGATATTTGAGGGCAATCTTGGAGTGGAATTGGAGGATTTCTTCGCCTTGGAAGCTCGAGGAATAATCCTGGACTTGGAGACTGATCATATTATGATTCTTACTGCAGTCTCTCTCTTCTCTATGGAGTACTTCCCTTCACTTAGGTTTTGAGGAACCCTAGCTATGTTTGTTTGATTGGATGATTGTATGAGTACTCCTACTTGATAATCTTGAGTTTATATTCAATATATGCATGTTTTCATGATTCATTTCCGCATTAGTCGAGATTATTGATTCTACTTTGATCCTATGAGAGCGAATACCTGATTATGTCAATAGAGCACCATAGATTGATAGTATTGGATCGAATGCTTTATTCGAGGGTCGATTCACTACTTTGTATCGATTGAGAACCTCATTCGATAGAGGGATTCTAGTTCAGAACACCTTGATCGCTTGTTCTAGAGAAGGATACGTCCCTCTAGGCAATTGTTCAAGAGGGCCTTGTTCCTTTAGTCGAGACTCAAGGTCTAGTTAAGGATTCTCCGTATTGTGAATGAAAGTGAAATAGGTTAGAGATCATCAATCATTAATCTGGCTAGTGGCTAGGGGGAATCATACCTAAGTGAGTTCCCAACCTATAATTAGATTAACTTTAACTGTAATTTGCTAGAGTAGTTATAGTTCTTCTTTCTTAATTTGGTTTGCTAGATAATGAACTAAAGCTGAGTAATAGTAACTCTAGAGACCCGTGGATTCGATATTTATTACTTGCACCACTATACTGCAGTCTCTTTCATTGGTTACACTTGGCCACTGTTAGGAGTTGTGTCATAGCGTGTCAAGCAACATTTGGTCATCGCTGAGACCCATCAAGAATGCCAGCATCGCGATTGATGCGATCGGTAGCATGACTTGGAGGTGGCAGTACCAACAGGAATCAAACTGGCCGCACCATCGGTTCAAGGGATGATGAACCCTTTATCGTACCACGAATGGGAAAGGAAAATCATTCTTTTCTTTCAGTGTGGCCAATTCAGTGAGGCCCATAAAGTAGCAATGGCCACTTTTGAATTCACGGATTCTACTGGCCAGTGGTGGAAACAGCTATAATGTTGTCGACAGCAAAACCTGCGAAATCCGGTGGCAACGTGGGAGGAATGACGTGGATTAATAAGAGATAGGTTTATTCCTGCCTACTATCAAAGGGAACTCTACGAATCCCTGCAAGGAATTCGACAAGGAGCCAGAAGTGTGGAGGAGTTCTTCCTGGAACTAGAATTACTGATGATGCGTGCCAACATCAGAGAGGACCGGGAAGCGACGATTGCTTTCTTTTTCCACGGCCTGAACAAGGAAATCCTGCAGGAGGTTGAGCTCTAAGCTTTTGTCGATTGGAGGAAGCTCTTCACCTCACAATTAAAGTCGAAAGGAAGCAGAAAACCTCGAGGAGGAGCACTCTGACAAGCAAGGCTGTGACAGACACAATTGCCAAAGCTAATCCCCAGCAATTACGTCATGAATCAATAAAATTGAATCCCAGGAACATTCAACCAACTTCTAATGAACGATGCCACTATCATAACTCGACGATATATGCTAACTAGGTACAAGAGAGAAAGGAAAATTCGTCAAAGACGGCTCTGCATGATATGATCCCAATTGGATCCATCTTGAAGTTGGAATTGCTTGAGGAAGAAGGAAGTGAAGTTGGGAAGAAGAATGGAGGAAAATGGCTAAGTATGGAACCCAGCCCAAGGAGCCTACTTTGGAGGCTCATATCTCTCAAACCAATCGTTGGGAATGAAGGATCAAGACATCAATGTGAACTTCAAGACTTTATCTCTTCATTGATATATCATGGAGCTCGAGGAGATCCCAGGAAGGATGTTTATCAAGTCTCACAAAATGCTATTAAGGAACCTGGAAACTGTCCAGATTTGGCTAAGGCAGAAACTGTGTTCAAGATGCTACCTTTAACTAGCTTGAAGAACACTGAAAATTGACTAAGTGTTGGGAATGTTCCAGGATACCAACTTTGCAAACCCGGTCGAACCAATTGGGTAGATGGAAATGGAGGGTTAAGGGCTCAAAGTGAAGGTAAGGTGTTGGACTGCACATTGGAGGACTTTGGAACTCGATTGGAAGCCAGGTGGATGATCTTCCACGCTCACCAAAAGTGTCTGGGCAAACCGAAACAATGCCAGTTCGGGAAGGGTACTTTGGAGCTCGATTCCTGGAGATTGAGGAAGAGTTAAGGGCTCAAAGTGAAGGTAAGGTGTTGGACTGCACATTGG